TAGCATATCCAAATTGATTATTAGTATACAACATTCACTGACTGTCTCCAGTGTATAATGCATAACATAAAGCTAGTGACGTGACCTGGAGTCAATTACTGTATATTCAACATATAATCTCAAAACACATCTCACATGAAATTTATACCATAATAGAACATTCTACCTTCTCACACAAATTACACACTTCACATTGAAGACTGATAAGTAAAAAGTGTTAGATAGGTTCCATATACTTTTAAAAACCTGCCTCTGGTCTGGCAGTTTGTCATCTGTTGTGGCGTATGTGTTGCTGTGATGCTGGAGGCTGTGTAACTGGTCGTATAAATGCCAGCAGGGTTACTCAAAACGAACAGGGCTCACCGGAGCTTCTAGACTCAGGACAGACTAAAAAGAAGGAATAGGCTGTCCACTTCTACAGGATTAGTAACAGAAACATTGATGGGAAGAATTGAAACAATGTCCTATACTGAAAAGCTCATAAAAAGTAGCAAAACATTGTCAGAGATAGTGTCAGAAGATAATACCCACAGGTTAGAAGACACCCAAAATATGATTAAGGAAGAGATGCCACCTCAAATTTGAATTGGCCATAATGATATGAATGGAATGAAAGTAAAGCATCCAGCCCTTCGTTGTCTGATGGAGCATGAGCCAAAAGATAGGCAACATCTGCAAACATCAATTAATATTCAGAACTTGCATGTATGAAGTATGAATCTAGGTTCTTGGAAGTTGTCAAAACTGAAATGAAACTCACTGAAAAAAGATATTATAGGCACTAGTTAGCTGAAATGAATGAGTATTGATGATTCTGAATCAGAAAATCAATAATTTATCATGTTAGGAATGCTACAATCAATGGGAATAACTTTGCATACATCATTACAAAGGACATTTCAAGATCTATTTCAAAATACAATGTTGTCTGTTATAGGATTTCATCTATCCACCTTCAAGGAACTTCAACCAATACAATTGTTATTCAAATTTATGCTCCAAGCAAGAAAGCTAGTGGTGAAGAAGCTGAAGAATTCTACCAATATTTTCAGTCTAAAATTGATTAAACACACAATCAAGATGCATGGATAATTATTGATTGGAAACAAAGAGTAAGGAACAGTAGTTGGAAAATATAGACTTGGCGAAAGAAAGGTAGCTGATAGAAATTAGATGATAGAATTTTGCAAGACTAATAACTTCTTCAGTATAACTTCTTAAACAACACAAACAGTGACTAGACACATGGACTTCTCCAGATGGAATACACAGAATCAAATTCACTACATCCATAGGGAGAAAAGATGGAGAAACTCACTGTCAGCAACTATAACCAGGCCAGTACATGACTGTGGGACAGACAGCCCATCAACTGGTCAGCAGAAAGCTGAAGGAAGTCTACTAGAGCCAATATATAATCTTGAGTGTATCCCATTTGAATTTGAGAACATATCAAGAGCAGATTTGATGCATTGAACAGTAGTGACAGAAGACTTGAAGAACTGTGGGAGGATATCTAGACTAACATACAGAAGAAAGCAAAAAGTCATTAAAACAATAGGAAACAAAGAAAAGAAGAGATGCCAGAAGAGACTCTGAACATTGCTCTTAATCATGGAGTAGCTAAGACTGATGGAAGAAATGATGAAGTCAAAGAGCGGAACAGAAAATTTCAAAGGGCAGGTCAAGAAGACAAAGTAAACCATCCTAATGAAACTTGCAAAAACTTAAGAGTTAGAAAACCCAAAAAGGATGAAGACACTTAGTATATTTCTACCTGTAAGAATTCAAGAAAACATTCAAACATCATGTTGCAAAATTGAAAGGTTCTATGGAAAAAATATTGAATGATGCAGAAAATATCAAAAGAAGTTGGAAAGAATGTAGAGTCTCTGTACCAAAACAAATTACTTGGCTTTCCAACATTTTACGGAGTAGCATGTGAACACAACTCAATAAAGAAAAAGTCCAGTTGCACTGGAAAACTTTATCCAAACAAAAGCTTCAGGGAATTGATGGAATACCAATTAAAATGTGTCAACAAACTGAAAGTCCTGGATGAAATTACTCATTTATGACAGAAAATTTGGAAGACATCTATTTGGTAAACAAAATGGAAGAGATTCATATCTATATCGGTACTGATTCCAAAGAATGCTCAAATTATAAAGCAGTATCTTTGATATCACATGCAAGTAACATTTTGCTGTAGATCAACAAACAATGATTGCAGCAGTACATTGGCAGGGAGTTTCCCGAAGTCAGCCTGGACGCAGAAAAGGAAGTGGAATAAGGGATATCACTGCTGATGTCAGATGGATCTTAGGTCAATGCATAGAATTCCAGAAAGATGTTTTCTTGTGTTTTGCTGCCTGTTCTAAGGCATCAGACTGTGTGAGCCCAAACAAACTATGGTTAGCCTTGCGAAGAATGGGAATCCCAGGACACTGCATTGTGCTAATCCAGAAGCTATATATGGATCAAAAGACAGTTGTGTGAACAACAAAATAGAGAATACTGTATGGTTTAAAATCAGGACAGGTGTGCAACAGGGTGCTATCATCTCACCATACGTATTCAATCTGTGTGCTTAGAAAATCACCAGAGAAGATAGATTATAAGAAGAATGTGGCATCAAGGTTGAGGAAGGCTTATCAGCAACCTGCAGTAAGCAGAAAATACAACCTTGCCTGCTGAAGTGAGGAGGACTTGAAGCACTAGATACTGGTGAAGATCAAGGATTTCAGCCTTCAGTCTGGATTATAACTC